TCCAGGACCAGGATATGGGGTATTGATGAACATTATTGACCTATTGACAGATTGAAAGTCTGCACTTAAATTCTGAAAGCAAGGCAATTTTAAACTCAGTATATATATTTTTAAGTAAGTCACTCTATATTGAGGGATTCCATTAACATGAAGCATTTCAGTGCTACAGGGGTCATTCTTTTCTCTCTACACAGGGAGATCAAGTTGATCAAAATGTACGATTAGTAAATGACAGGGCCAGGATGCCACTGTGTTTTTACTCCACCTACTATATACCACACTTGCTGGCTTTTATAGATTTTCAAAAGATGTTCTTATTTACAGATAGTAAAGGAGATTTTATTTTTAGACCAGAGATTTTATTTTAGACTAATAATTTATCATAAATATCACCAAGTTGTTATTTTACACTGTTTCATAGCAAACACTTTGCGGGCAGATCTGGCTGCTAATCCCAGCTGCCCAGTTGTGAACTTTCCAAAAGTAAAGTTACTTTATTCTCTGAGTCTCCATTTCCTTATTTATTTAACAAGGCTAACTGTGAAGATTAAATGAGATAACAACTGCCATAAAGCCTGTGACTCAGGGCAAGGCATATAGCAATCAGTTACTAAATGGTGACTCTCTTTAAGCTAAAATTCTGAAATAGTTTTACATGTAATTCTGATTTAATGCCTCGTGGAACTTACATTCTCGTGGGAGAGACAAGCAAGATACATAAAAAATATGTATGTACACTAGTTATGTGTACTAAAGAGGAAAAAGAAAGCAGGGAAGGGGGGTATAAAATACTGGAGACAAGCTGATACTGAATAGAGTGAACAGGTAAGACCCAAACAAGAAGGGGGCTCTTGAGTAAACACCTAAAGAAAAAGAAGGTGCTACCTGTGTGGATGTCTAAAAGAAGAGCATTTCAGGTGGTGGGAATGGCAAGTGCAAAGGCCCTGAGGCAGGAGCATGCATGGGACGTACAAAGTACAGCATGGGGGATGGTGTGGCTGGAGTAGAATAAGTAAGGGCTAGAATGGTAGGAAATGCTGTCAGAGAACATTGGGCCACTTGGTAGATCTTGTAAGGGCCTTGTAGATCGTTGTACAAACTTTGGAGAGTTTGAGCAGAGGAGCAACATTGTCTGACTTATATTTTAAAGGGATGCCTTTGGCTGCTTTGTTGAGAATAGACTGTTGGAAGGGGAGTCCGGGATTGTGGTCCATAAGGCAGAAGCACGGAGATCAGTTCAGAGGCTGATGTAATAATGCAGAGTGTTACCTTATCCATCTTAATGGAGTAATTATGGTGTATTCTGCCATCAACATGCAGGAGGTTTTTCCTGTGCTCCTGCTGTGTTTATAAACACCAGGAGGAATTGCAGTCATATCATTCTGAGAGTCATCCCTCCTGGTGTTTTATTTTTCTTTAGTATTAATAGATTGTGGTACTGTGGAACAGTCCCATTTGCATACAACTTCATCGGTGCCCTGCTCGTCTGGGAAATTTAGTTGCAAGGGAAAAGGAGCACTTTATGAAATGGATTCCCCGTCAGTTGTCATACTGGAGCGGTCCCCGGCGATCATCCCATGGCAACCCAGCCTCCAGGGAATGCTGTTTCATTAGGAGAGTGATCGATTCTGACACCATCAGTCAACTAAAAGAGAAGTAGGTTGGTGGGGCTGATGAGCACATTGAGATGCTGACGCGTGGTAGATCAGAGCTGCACTCTGCCCCCTTGGCGGACGTCACATGGACATGGAGCCCTCGCTACAGGAGGTGGACAGCTGTTCTCCATCAGCCTGAAAGCTTTACTTGACTTTCTTTTATTTTTATTTTATTTTTTTTTAATTTTTTTCTTTTTTTAAATTATATTTTTAATTATTTAATTTCTCTTTTTTTTTTTTTTTTCTCCTATCATCAGTCCTGACCCATTGTCTTTCTTTTAAACCTTTTTGGTTAGGATTTGTTTCTTATTGCCTTCAAAATTTATACTGTAATTCAAGGCTGCCTGAAAAGTTATGTCTATGTGTATATATCAGGAAATGGGAGCCATCTTCTAACTTACTAGATGGAGATTCAAGCCGGGCGTGGATCACACCTGTAGTCTCAGCACTTTGAGAGGCCAAGGCTAGAGGATCGCTTGAGACCAGGAGTTCGAGACTAGCCTGAACAATATATGGGGGACCCTGTCTCTGCAAAAATTTTAAAAATAAGAAATTAGCTGGGCGTGGTGGCACGTGCCTATAATCCTAGCTACTCAGGAGGCTGAGGCTGAAGGATCACTTGAGCCCAGGAATTCAATGTTGCAGTGAGCTATGATGAGGCCACTTCACTCTAGCCTGTGACCATGTTTCTAAAAAAATAAAATGACAATTTTTAAAATTTATCAACATGCTAATTATTTTTTTAAAAGATTCAAACTCAGCCATGTGACCTTTACACAAACTGCCATGAAATTCTTAAATAGAATTAATCTTAATTTACTTGAGTATATGTGTATGTGCACCTTAAGGATAGAAAGTATCTGTTTCAAATCACACTTAACAAGTGTGAATTGCAAAAAGGCTGGAAATAATTGATTTACATCAGTATGGCTGAGCTGCTGCTGTTGACTCAAAAATTCCTTTGACTGTCTTTTAAGGATCTGTGTGAGTTGTAACCATTTTAACCAGGATTAGATCAAAATGAATGGATATAGCACAATTTAGTATCATATGATGTCAGTAACATATGCTCAGTTTATAAATGGAGTATATTTGTCAATTTAATTACAATCACATCAATTTTGCTTAGGTGTAAAAAAAAAACCCAAATGACCATTTTATATATTTTTTGTATTAAGAACATAAAGTATAGGCCAGTTGCAGTGGCTCACGCCTGTAATTTTAGCATTCTGGGAGGCTGAGGCAGGAGGATCACTTGAGCTCAGGAGCTCGAGACCAGCCTGAGCAAGAACAATACCCTATCTCTTAAAAAAAAAAAAAAAAAAAAGAACACAAAGTAAATATACTGAGATAATCTAGTTATGATTTATTTTACATTTTATTTCCATGATGTCTTTACTGTTGCTATCCTTGCAATAGAAGAAAAAAATGGGTACCTGTCAATTTATGATTTTGCCATTTTAAAGTCATATGAGCACCACCTTTGTATCCATGATATTTAACAGTCATAGAGGCTTTCACATTTAGCAGTTCATTAGGTCCTAAGAACAACTCTGTGGATGCAAAAAGTAGGCAATATAGCCCCATGTTACAGCAAAGAAAACATCAAGGTTTAGAAACAAACTCAGGTTTGGATTCTTAGTCTTGGGCTCTAGGCCCAACACCAAACTCTTTTCATTGGCTCTTATGTAATCTTTTTCAGATTTGGGGAGCTCTAGTAGTTGTAGAGTAATTACAGATATGTTGCAGCAAGATGAATTCAGTTGGCAACAAACAATGATGTCAGTGTTCCTGTTTGAGATTCCAACCACTGCATTTCTGTATATTTGTTACCTGTGTCCTCTGAGAAACTTGCATTAAATCTAGAAAGGCATCAAACCATGAGTTGTAAAGATGGATAAATCCTCACAAACGTATTGTTAAATGAAAGAAACACATCACAGAAGAAAACATTGTAATTCCCTTTATATGAATAGAAGGTTCAAATACAGGCAAAACACAGTGGTGGTGTTAGAAGCCCAGATAGCAGTTACCCTGGTTGGGGAGTGTTTGCTGCAGGGGCTGGGATGTTGTATTGATCTGGGTGCTAGTTGCACAGGTTTGCCTTTTGAGAAGGTTCACTGACTTTTTATTCTTTAGTACAATTCTTTCTAAAAGCCTTATTTTCATAAGTGGTAGTTTAAATGCTTTAGACTTGAAGAGCAGTTCTTATACCTTTATTGTATTTTATGAGCTATCATTTCCCCACAAAAGTCAGTTATCCTTTTTTGTTGTTGTTCCTAAGCATGTTGCATTTATTTTGAGTTCTTGGAGCTTCCTTGTCACAGAACCAACTGCCACAGAGCCATGGCGACATCCATCATAAAATGCTTGCCAACACAACTTTCTTGCTTACACTTTTTTAACACATTAACTGCCATGTGGATTGTATTTAACTCACGCTAGTTTTGAGCCCAGGGCCTCGTTGAAGAATATGTAACTCACATGTCTTGGGAGCCGGGAGAACTGTTTTTTAAGTTGCATATAACTCAAGCACAGAAAACAATATAAAATAACAAATTTTTCATTAAATGAGAAAGGATCACCTTTTTTTGAAGTTTTTATTCTATTTTCATAATAAAACACTGTGGCCCCAAGGAAAAACATTTTTTTCCTAGTGTGGCAAGTCAGTGTGTTAAGGTGTTATGGGAAGAAAGGTATTGAAGAAGAGCTCTTCGGTCAGGATGTTAATCTGTATCAAAACAGACACTGGTAGAAATGTTTTCATGGAATTCTGCTGAGGCTCAGAACAGAGCTTTAGTCAGCTTCTTATAATTTAACAATTTCACACTGATTTTTTTCCCATATAAATGGTTTCAGAAGAGCACAGATAGTTGAACAACAATAGCTCCATCATTTTTGAAATGTCCCCTGAATCAGAGCCTAAAGGAAATATTAATAAGATTGAGGCTAGAAATTACTTTGAGCAGGACTAAATTTTAATAAAAATAGAAACTGATGGCCACAGCCATGATGTTTCTCTAGGCTTCTATAAAGTTAACCTAAATCCATAAGCTTTCTGACCACGGTACATAGAGGAAAAACAGGAAGAACTTCAGAGATCTTGTGGGTCAGCAAAACCCTTTGCTGTCCTCACATTTTCAGACTAAGGCCAGTGCGAATCACGTATATTATACGGGTCACGTCCTAGAGGAGGAGCAAACCATTGCTTCTGTTCCTAAATGGGTCCAATTTTTTTTTTCAGCTTCTGTTAAATCAGTCTAATTTTTTAAAAATAAGAAATGTTTATTTGAATATTTCTGCCAGCTATTTATATGTTGTGGCTGCTGCCTCTTTTCTCTGCAGTGTTCTATCTCCTCATCAGAAGAAGAAAGATTTATTTCCATCAGGAGACCTAAAACACCAACCTCAAGTGACTTCTCTGACCTTAATACTCAGACGAACTGGACCAAGTCACTTCCACTGCCAACACCAGAAGAGAAGATGCGACAGCAGGCCCAGACAGTCCAGGCTGATGTGGTGCCTATTAACATAACTGGTACGCGCTGCTAGGCAGACAGGTTCAGTATGTACTTGGGAGAACGACAAGCTTTTTGTTTGTTGTATGTTCTTAGAATTTCATTTATACATAAAAGGTGAATAGCTGAGGTCTGGCTTCCTGCTCTTTGTTTAAGGAAGAGAATACTAAAACTATTTATGTATGTGCATATGAAATATCTATTACTCATTAGATTAGAAGACTGTGTCACCAAAGGTTTGTGTCAAATGACTCAGTGGTCCAATTATTCATCCAAAGATTTTTTTTTTAATTAAATGGCATTTTAATAAGCTTTTGATTACATAGAAACATCTTCTAAATGTGGTCCTGGTTAAGAAAACAATTCTATATTTTCCTTCTAAAGGGTTACTTTAAGTAATATGCATAGAAATAAAGAAATCATCATTTAGTGATGTTTCTGAATGATAGATTTTCTTCTTATTTTCTTACGTGGAAAAAGGGAAAAACTTACTTAAAAATATCAAGTGAATTAATGACTATAAAAATATTTTTTAGAAATTTAATAGGGTAATTAAATTATATTTTGCTTTTCATAATTTGAAGTCCATAATTATCAGACAAAAATTCATTTCTTCTGAATATAACATGTTTAGAATATGTTACACTCTCTGGAATATGGATATTAATTAACAAGGTACATAAAGTTCAAAGATGATCTTTCATGAAATTAAAAGAGCTGTTAAAAAGATATCAGAATTTTCCTGCTTTGTCACCTCCATAGCCCATGACAAGCATGGGGAGGGTACAAAGTGCAAAAAAGACAGGTTCAGAGTTAATAGTTTCAATTGTTCGACTTTGTGCTCAATGGAAATAGAGGGCTAATAGTCATCATTGATTATCAGTCCATACAAAGCAGGGGACATGGGTCAGAACCTAAAAAAAATCAGGTGGCCAAAAAAGATGAGTTTTCATAAACAACTAGGATAAAAACCCGTAGTATTCTTGCTGTGCTTCTGAGGCTACTGCTTTTTGCCGTGGCATTGGTGAGTTTGTAAGGGGCTAATCACATTTTGATAGTTACTGACAATTTTTTTTTAAACCTTATAGGTTATTTAGAAATTACATTTAGCACCCATTTTGAATTCCATAGAAATTTAATAAACAAGTACATGAATGATTTTTAATTCAACATACATTTTTCCATATTTATTTTACTTAAACCTTAAAAGAATAGCATGGTATTTTAATTCTTTTTTTTTTCCAAAAAATATTATTGATCTTTCTGAATGTATTTCTTACTTACCTAGATCACATTAATATTTTTTTTAATTTGAAAATATTAATGAAGTACAAATGTCTTTGTTACGTGGCTACCTTGTATAAGGTTTAAATGGGGGCTTTTGGTGTGCCCATCCCTAGAATAGTGTTTATTGTACCTGATAGGTAAGTTTTTACCACTAGATCATATTTTTTAAAGATTATTTTTAAAAGTAGCTATGTTTCAGGACAAAGGGTAGTGTTTGTTGCTTGATGAAATACAGGGGTGCATATTTTCTATAAGAAAAAATGAATTATTTGATTGATTAAATTCAGGAAAAATATAATTACATTACATATGATTAAATGCCTATGAAATAATATTACAAGATAAGAAGATTGTGCTATGAAATATGGCAATCCTTAATGGAATTAGTGTGAAATATATTATCTTGATATTAGGAGATTTTAAAATGGAGTCAGTAGAGTTTCACGAATAAAGAATTATTTGCAATGAATTAAATTGTCACAACAGAAGACAGTGTTACATCTTTGAGCTTTAATTCTCTCCTGTTTGATGACTAAGTAGGTAAGAATTAAATAGAGCTAAAAAGACGGCCTTTATAATGCCACACAGGAGAGGTGAATGACAATAAAGAAAGAGCAATATGAGTTATGTCAAAATGCAATTTACTTTTAATTGAGTGATTAACATTTTGTTGAAATGTCAAAATTAAATGTAATACCTAATTACGTATTTATTGATCCATTGGCTAGCTCTGTGTGTTCATGTACACACATATATTCCTTAAATGATTAGTTTTGTTAATCTGGTATAAAGAAGCAATAAATTTAAAATTTTCACTTTTGGTGATGAATTGACACAGGTTACACAGCTTCCTGCTCTGTGAAGTATATATTTCTAAAGTCCTAGAAGATTTTTGAGATAAAAATGTATCTATCTTCCTGTAGGAAATTGTCATGTGCTCATTCGTTAGGGTGAATATTGAACCTCTAGTTTGATCTTTTTAGTAAGGCTCAGCAGGAAAAAAAAATGCTAAGAAATATAAAATTTCAAATTCAGAGTGCAGCCCACCAGGCATAGAGGTGGAACATTAGCACAGTGAAAATTGATTTAATACTTTTAGTTATAATTCTGTGGGCACTTGGCATGTTATAAGAGGTGAGGAGGAAAACAAAAAATGTATATATAAGTGTATTCTTTAATACACTTGAAATGTGAGACAACAGCTCTTCCACCTGGATGATAAATATAGTACGTAAACAAATGATTTTTGTAAACTGGCTTACACAGATGTTTGAGTTACCTAAGTTTAGTTCTAAATAGTAACTATGACTAATATAATTTTTCAGTGAAAGTGAGGGATTAAATTAACTACTTTGTGCCAGGCATTATCTGAGTGCCATCAGGGAAGCTAAAGTACCTGCGTCATAGTCCCTACCCACAAAAAATGTATAATCCAGTAGAGGAGACAGTCTTTTTAGGTCACAATGCAAGATGAAGAGTTTGGTGCCTTTAATGTGGGGTGTGACGTAGATGTTCATACTCATCATATGGCTTATTTCTCAATTTTCTTGGAGCTTGGGTGGTTTTATCTTTCTTTTTGTCTAAGAAGCAAACTGCAGACTAAATACAACTTTCTATTAATGTTTTATCTATTCTTCTCCTTCTTTTTTTTTTTTTTTTTGAGACAAGGTCTTGCTTATATTGTCCAGGCTGTCCTTGAACTCCTGGGCTCAAGCAATCCTATCACCTGAGCCTCCCAAGTAGCTGGGTTTATAGGCACATACTGTTTTCTCCATTAATGTCTTGCTACAAGGAAGTTTTTTTCCTCTACTGCAGGGAACCAGTGAACCACTGAAGTCATGACTTGCCCCTTACAAGCATTTATGCTATTGCACATAGTGACCCATTTTTCACATCAATGGTACCTTCTGATATTTCAGGGTCTTCTCTCAATCATTTCCATTTTTCCTCATTAGCAACAGAGTTGTAAGCATTTGTAAAGTTTTCAAGCATTTACTTAAGTTGGTTCCTCAGTAGATGAAATGTGTTTTGATCGTTCACATCTTTGTCCTTTGTTTTGGTTAAAATTCACAATTTAGTATTATCAAAATAGAAGTTACATTACCCACAACATACCCACTTTGAATCTACGTCAGTATTGCCAAAAAGAGTGAATGCTTTTATGTTCTTATGAGTAAAATGATGGAAGTTTGTAATTTGTGTGTATGTATATATTTTTAAAATTACTTTTTGAGGAGAATAACCATACAAAAAGGTTATGCTGTAAAACTTTCTTTAATTAAACTGGCAAGTAATTTCAAGCAGACCCACGAATAACTGATACCGTTGCACACTTTATTATTTTATCGTTTCTCATGGTGTATTAATCACCCAAGCTTACACTCCAGAAGGAAAAAAAGTCCTGTGGATGTGGCATTCCAGGTTTGATTGCAACATCGCCTGAAATGTCTGGATTAAGTTCGGCTTTAAAAAGTAATTATGAAACAGAAAGAAGCAGTTCAGCTTTAACAACAGCAGTGCTACTGGGTGTCATTGTGGCAAAAGTGCTTTATCATTATAAGGCGTTTAATTTTTCACTATAGTTGTCAGACTCTTTGATTGAAGAAAAAGTTCTCCATTCATCTTGATTAAGTTACTTGTTTCATCACCCAAGATAAGACATTATGTTTGTCTTGGGGGGTGACCAGATAAATAAAACATATTCATTGCCATCACCACATACATGCTGATGCAGAGTGGTTTTGGTGACCAGAGGATATATATGAAACACTTCCAAAATGCTCCATCTTTTAAATAACACAATCCCTTTTCCAGTGCATTATTAACAAACTTGCACGTGCTGTTCCATCCAGCTCATTTGACAATGAGAGCAAGGTGCTTGCTTTGGAAGGACACACAAATTGGAAAACAGCCTTATGATGATAATGTGCTTTTCTTCCTTTTTTGCCCTTCAGCATTCATCATCATATGACTAGCTAACATCATTATTAATCCCTTCTTATCATTTTACAACAAGCTTCTGGAAGAAAGTGCATGGTGTCAGCTTGCTTGAAAATAACATTGCTTTGCTTGTTCTACTACTCTGCATTAGGGGAGAATTTCGATCGCCAGGCCAGCCTTCGGCGGTCTGTAATTTACACAGACACTCTGGTAAGACGACCGAAGAAAGTCAAAAGGAGAAAGACTATTACAGGAGTCCCTGACAACATACAGAAGGAGCTAGGTATGGCTCATCAGAACTGTGTTCTCTCGCCCCTGAGTGCTGCTCGGCATTACTACGCTAACCTCATTTGTGATGCTTATAACAATCGATACATTCTGATAGCCGTTGGTGCCCCAGAGGGTCAGCTTCTTTCCTGAATGAGGCATTAGGTGCAAATCTTACATCCCATGCAGACACGGTTTACTGGATTTGGGGGAGAAGGTACAGGGAGAAGAGCTTGTATGAAAACTATTAACTAGAGTGATAGAAATTGATCCTTACATCATCATCTCTATGTACCTTGAACACGGGGTATTTCCACCATTAAATTTACTTTTCATTTAGATCTTAAGTTTTCGTGAAACCTAAAACTGACTTCAAATGATGAATGACTTCACTGGTTATCCTGACAATACTGGTGGTATTTTATCATCAGAAACAGCAGTCTGGGATTATTAGTAAATGTCAATATGATAGAAAATAGTCATTTATGTTGGATAATGCCTTCATTATTTTCAATGAAACAATTTCATAGCTTTTTTTATTTAGTATTTTCAACCTGTGATAAAAGCAGGAAACAGAAAAAAAAATGTTGGCTGATGGAAAGGGTTGTTTAGTTCATTATTCACCCATCCATTTTGTTTCTGCTTATCTTTATATGTGTGGGGTAATCCTTTCATTTTCCTCTTTCTATATTAATTCCTCTCCCTGTTGTTTTATGGGGCCTAGCAGGCATGTCTGCAGAGCAGCATAGCAGAGCTCCTGGGTCAGGAGCAGCACCGGTGCCGGGGTGCTTGGAGTTAAAACCTCACCCTGCCACTCACTCTGGGTGACCTTGGTTGCTTCACCTCTGAGTCTACTTCCTCACTCAACAAATGAGTATTGTTGATATTAATAGAACCTACTTCATAGGGTTGTTGGAGGACAAAATGAATTTATACATGTGAAGCACTTAGTACCTGGCACTTCTATAATCATAATATTAATAGCTCCTGTGGTCATTATTATAGGGAACTTACTACTACCTGTGTTGAAATTTGCCTCTTCCTCTTCGGCCATCCTGTGGACTTATTTCCTAATAGTTACTTTCACCTGACATTTTTATTTAGTTTTATTTACTATCAAAGGTTTTAGTCTATAAGCTCAGAGTCATTATTTCTGAAATTGCTTATTAGTCTTTTAGTAAAAATGGGTTTATCTTAGCAATAATAATATATCTGTGACAGCACCTTGAGGTGGTTTTTCAGCTTCTGGGTGCTACATACATTGTGCTTCTGTATTTTTTTCCCCAGCAGCCCTGCTTGAATGCCTTGTATTAGGGGGGCAGATTCACTTTTCTTTTCCTGGCATTTTCTCTTTTACTGCTGTCCAATCCTGCAGTATATGTGCTCTGCCACCTAGACTGTAGCAGCAGTTAAACTAAAGGAACAGGTCTCTAACTCCAGTGACCCAGATGGTATACAGGTGCTTGTCTTATTGTATAACAGAAGGGTTCGTTAGAAGCAAAGGCAAGATTGCAACTGCCCCGTGGAATTTGTAAAGTTTGTCTGGTTCGTGGCCCACATACTGCTGCTTTTCGTGGGCCGGTTCTCCAGGTAACTACCCAAGGTCTCCAGGCACCATCCTCCAACCTACACCTCACTGATGCATAGCACTTTCTCCCTCTCCTCTCAACTTGTCTGTGTCTTAATTCTTTCAGACTCTTTCATTTTTAACTCTTGAGGTGACAACTAACTAATTTAAGAAATTATCTGTACTCACATATTCTGTAGTAACTGTGTTTCCCCGAAAATAAAACAGGGTCTTATATTTATTTTTCCTCAAGAAAGGCCTAGGGCTTATTTTCAGGGGGTGTGTTATTTTCCACTCAAAGCCTCAGCTTGCAGCATGCACAAGATGTCCGGGACCTGACAGGGGGAGCCGACATTGTTGGTGGGGCTGCCCGCACCTTTCCGGTCACCTCTGGGATAGTAGCTGTCATGATGGGGCAGATGAGAAGGGCTGCTCATCATCTTTACTGCTCCACGAAGAAATGCATGGGTTGTGCAGATACGCTGTGTAGCCACGCCCATCACTAGGTTTTATTTTCAGTGTGGGGCTAATATTGCACAAATCCTGCTAGGGCTTATTTTATTGGGTAGGTCTTATTTTCGGGGAAACACGGTATTTAATGGGTTAATTTCCTAAAGCACTCCGATAACATTTATACTTTGGTCTTTTTAGGAGATGTGCCATAAAGGAATGACTTTAAGGACAGGCAGTTAGTCTCCCTTGTAAAGTTAGAAAGTTGATGTCTTGGGGTAAGCTACGTTGTAAGTGACTTCCCAACCAAAGTAGGACAGCCTTGTGCAAAGAGTATAAGGATAGTTTGGCTCACATAAAGATGCACATACACATAAATATTCAATATGAATTGTCTGTGTACATATATAATATGAAACCTAGAATGAGAAAGGTAAACATTTTTATCACCTTTATTACTGAAACAACCAGTATGGAGCCAATAACTCAGTTACTTCTTTGACCTTAACTAGAATGATCTGGCCAGCGACGTAAATCATATCTTCTGTAAATTTAGTATTTTTAAAATCAGTGATTGAGTACATGGAACTACACAGATCCTGAAGGAAGGAAAATAGCTTTCCCCACATCATCTGCGTTGTGGCTGTTGCAGGACATGATACTGTCAGTGACATTGGAGTCAGTGACAGGACCACAGCTGGAGGTCAACTGAGACAACTGTATCTAAGTTAGAGCTAGTTTAAACAAACAAACAAAGACAACGAGATAAGGACCCCAGTTTTCTAGGCAGGCTAGTTGGAGGATTGGTGGATAAAATGAGAGGATAACATTTGAATACAGTTTTATTTAGCAAAAAAATTAGATCATATATTTATTTGCTCTGTCCTTTCAGGATTTTTGGTTGATTCTTGCCTTCCTTTTCTCCCAATATTTTGCACTTATAAGGACTCTAGTTTGGAAGTCTTGTACTACCTAATTAATGATTATCAAAAATAGATACTTCTTGTTTCCTTTAAAATTAGTCCTCCTCTAGATATAAAATATAAGGGGGAGATATGGCACAGTCCAACAAATTAGACAAAAAAGAAAAGGCGTACACTAGGAAAGATGCACCCTCTCCGCCAGAGATTGTCCAAGTTGCCAGGGGCTTTGGATTTTTAAAAAATGTAGCCATACAGAGGTGCTTCCATGAATTAGAAAGTTATATTTAATTATATGCAGCTTTTACTTGAAAGTCTGTAAGTAGTGGATTCTTACTGTGGTAGTGTGTGTGTGTGTGGTGTGTGTGTGTGTGTGTGTGTGTGTGTGTGTGTGTATGCTATATACTAGTATATTAACCCTTTAGATATATAACCCTTTAAAATCAAGGTATGATAGTGTTTATTTCCAAAGTGTATCTGATGACTTATAATTTGTTGTCTTCTATTTAAATGAATTAGACATTTCAATTTTTTTCTTTAATCTTAAAGCTACACAGAAACTTATCTGAATATCATGTTACAAGATTTCATCTTTTAGAATCACATAGGATTATTTTATTGGTTTATAATTATATTTGACTACTGAACTTATCCCCATGTAGATTCCCTAAGCAGAAAAACCCTCATTTAAAGGGATCCCTTCATAAATAATTTTTGATAGTTTGTACTAGGAACAATACTGAACACCTGACAAGACTCTTTAAAAATTCATATACTAAACCTTAAATAAATTGACTTATAGATTCTTATCCTTAATTATATTTATTTTTTAGAAATTGCAGATCTCTTATAGTATTAACAAGAAACAGACAAATTATACATAATTATTTCTTTAGATTATGTTTTATAATCGGTTAAATCCCACTAAGCTTTTGAGCAACACCTAAGTGGTCTACATTTGTTTGCAGTTTGTTTTCTTCTTTAATCAATACAGACATACCTCAGAGATACTGCGGATTTGATTCCAGACTACCACAATAGTGCATATATCAAAATACAGCAAGTCACATGAATTTCTTGGCTTTGCAGTGCATATAAAAGTTATGTTTATACTATACTGTAGTCTATTCAGTGTGTGATAGCATTCTCTAAAAAAAAAACCAATGCACATACCTTACTATAAAAATACTTTATTGCTGGAAAAAAAAATGCTAATGATCATCTGAGCCTTCAGAGATTTGTAATCTTTTTGCTGGTGGAGGGTCTTGCCTTGATGTTGATGGCTGCTGACTGACCAGGGTAGTGATTTGCTAAAGGTTGGGGTGGCTGTGCTAATTTCTTAAAATAAGACAATGAGGTTTGTCGTACAGTGGACTCTTCTTTCACCAGAGATTCCTCTGTAGCATGCAATGCTGCCTGATTGCATTTTATCCACAGTAGAACTTCTTTCAAAATTGGAGTCAGTCCTTTCAAATCCTGCCACTGCTTTATCAAGCAAGTTTATATAGTATTCTAAATCCTTTGTTGTCATTTTGACAATATTCATAGCATCTTCACCAGGAGTAGATTCTATCTCAAGAAACAGCTTTTATTGCTCATCCATAAGAAGTAACTCTTCATCTGTTCAAGTTTGATAGTGAGATTGCAGTAATTCAGTCTCATCTGCAGGCTCCACATCTAGTTCTAGTTCTCTTGCTCTTTCTACCACATCTGCAGTTACTTTCTCCACTGAAGTCTTGAATTGCTCAAAGTCATGCATGAAGGTTGGAATCAACTTCTTCCAAACTCCTGTTAACCACTTTGGTACTGCGCTCACCAGCCACGAAACCTTGCCCACAGCTGGCACTCATAGTCCTCAGTATAGTTTGTGCTGTGCATCGACGACGAATCCGTTCTGCTCTTGTGTGATGAAGAAAGCTTTAAAGCACTGAAAGCTTGTTTTACTTTACAGGCAGCTTTACTTGTAATGTAAATCAGAATAGGTAACATATACATATATGTTTTCATTACATTAGTTTTAAATGTTCACAATTTTATTTTGATAAATGAAAAATTAGAAAAGTCATATCACGGCTGTTGGGTAAAGTCGATGTGTGTTCATCTGTGGCTATCAACTATAGTTGACGCTGGTCCCGAATTGATTAATGTTGATATTTTGACCTTCTCCCATGAATAACAAATGTTCTTAATGGTATCTAGAATGGTTAATCCTTTCCAGAAGGCTTTCAATTTACTTTGCTCAAATTCATCAGAGGAACCACTGTCTATGGCAGCTAAGGCCTTTCAAAATGTATTTCTTAAATAATAAGACTTGAAAATCAAAATTATTCCTTAATCCAAGGCTGCAGAATGGACATTGTGTTGGCAGGCATGACAACAACATTAATCTCTTTGTACATCTCCATCAGAGCTGTTGGGTGACTGAGTGCTTTGTCAATGAAGGAATCTTTTTATCTGAGCAGTAAGTCTCAAGAGTGAGCTTAAAAATTCAGTGCATCATGCTGTAAACATCTAGACTTTGTTGTTCCCTTCATAGAGCATGGGCAGAGTAGAATTAGCATAATTCTTAAGAGCCCTAGGATTTTCATAATAGTAAATGAGCATTGGCTTCAACTTAAAGTCAACAGCTGCATTAGCCCCTAACAAAAGTGTCCCTCTGTCCTTTGAAGCTTTGAAGTATTGGTTTCTCCTCTCTGGCTATGAAAGTCCTAGATGCCATCTTCTATTAGAAGGCTGTTTCTTCTTCGTTGAAATTGAAAATCTGTTGTTCAGTGTAGCCACCTTCATCAATTATTGTAGCTAAATCTTCTGGATAACTTGCTGCTTCACCTTGTCCTTTTATGTTCTCGAGAAGGCTTCTTTCCTTAAATCTCATGAACCCACCTCTGTTAGCTCCCAACTTTCCTTCTGCAGCTTCCTCACCTCTCCCAGACTTCATAGAATTGAAGAGAGTTACAGCCTTGCTCTAGATTAGGCTTTGGCTTTGGAGAATGTTGTGACTGATTATATCTTCTATCCAGACCACTACAACTTTCTCCATATCAGCAATAAGGCTGTTTGCTTTCTTATCATTCATGTGTTCTCCACTGTAGCACTTTTAATTTCCTTTAAGAACTTTTCCTTTGCATTCACAACTTGGCTAACTATTTGGTGCCAGAGGCCTGCCTAGCTTTCAGCTGGTCTTGGCTTTTGACGCGCCTTCTTCACTAAGCTTAATCATTTCTAGCTTTTGATTTAAAGTGAGAGATGTGTGACTCTTCCTTTCACTTGAACACTTAGAGGCCACTGTAAGGTTATTAACTGGCCTAATTTTATTATTGTTGTGCCTCAGGGAATAGGGAAGCCTGAGGAGAAGGAGAGAGATGGAGGAACAGCTGGTAGGGGGAACAGTCAGAATGCACAACATTTATCCATTAAGTTTACTGTCTTATGTGAATGTGGTTTGTGGCACACCAAAACAATTACAATAGTAACCTCAAAGATCACTGGCCGGGCATTGTGGTTCACGCCTGTAATCCTAGCACTCTGGGAGGCTCAGGCAGGAGGATTGCTTGAGTTCAGGATTGAGAACAGCCTGAGCAAGAGTGAGACCCCGTCTCTACAAAAAATAGAAAAGTTAGCTGGGCACAGTGGCACGCACCTATCTTCCCAGCTACTCGGGAGGCTGAGGCAGGAGGATTGCTTGAGTTCAGGATTGAGAACAGCCTGAGCAAGAGTGAGACCCCGTCTCTACAAAAAATAGAAAAGTTAGCTGGGCACAGTGGCACGCACCTATCTTCCCAGCTACTCGGGAGACTGAGGCAGGAGGATCGCTTAAGCCCAGAAGGTTGAGGTTGCTGTTATCTATGTTGACGCCACTGCATTCTAGCTAGAGCAACAGAACAAGACTCTGTCTCAAAAAAAAAAAAAAAAAAGCACTGATCACAAATGACCATAACAGATATAATGAAAAAGTTTTAAATGTTGCAAGAATTACTAAAATGTGACATAGAGAGGTTGAAATGAGCACATGCTGTTGGAGAATTGGTGCTGATAGACTTGTCCCACCACAGAGTTGCCACAAACCATCAATCTGTAAAAAAAACAAAAAAACCACAATTATCTGCAAAGTACAATAAAGTGAAGTGCAATAAAATGAGGTATGACTATATAGCGTTCATTTGTGTTCTATAATATTATGAGACTTTTTATACTGTGAAAATATTGGAAGATCTGTTTTGGGAATAGAATTTTGGTGGTCCTTATGATAAATTATATATTAATTTCTCATATACCTTTAAAATCTTTAGGAAACATTGTTATTTTAATAAGAACATTATACTCAGCTATAGATGGTGAAGAATTGGCTACATTTCTATTTCAGAAGAGTAGAATGGTTTCACATTCAAAATTATTACCCAAAAGTATCAGGATTTTGTTTGTGGTATTTAAAAGTAGTTAAATATCTGCCACTAACCCCATGCAAGAACTACTACAATTTTGAAAGAAAAAGATATTAAAACCCATTGTTGAATGGAATGAAGTATTTCGAATGTTTGGAGTTAAACTCATATAAACTGATACACCAATACAGTTCAACCTCCCATCTTCTTAATTGCCAAATGGCAAAAACTTGCACCTTTTGTTTTTCTTTCCTCAAAGTGGATTTTTCTTCTGTTTCTGCCCTTTTGCTTACTTCCCCTCTTTCTAAGAGACAGCCTCCTCTGTGTCTGTCTGTCTGTGCTCAGTGAGTACTTCCTTGGCAGGGGGTGAAAACAGAAAATAGATCTCTTTGCTAAAGATACAAGTAGAAAAATGTCTCTTCATCATCACAGTGAAGGAAAAGGCTTGCTGCTGGGGAGCCCTCCGTGCAGGCTGACATCTCCTTTGAGGGTGATACAAGCACTTTGCTGCCTTTTTAGTAATACTCTTTGCTATCCAGGTGAGCGAAAGGCTTTATATATCCAATCTGTGCAATAGTGAGTTACTTGGGGGTGAGGGAAGGCAGGAATCCCATCATACCAGTGTCATATCCAGGTGCTTGTGCTGGTCTAGCATTGCTCAGCAAAGCCCAGCCTTGAGGTACTTTCAGGTCTTTGTTAGACGAAGACAACATAGCAAGAACTGTGGTTTAACTACTGTTTTTAAAGATTTGAGTTGTCCTAAGGATTGACTTATTTTTTCTCAGTACGCTTGGGTAAGTTCTTGGTTTTGTGATTTTTTTTTTTTTTTCTTTTAAAGCTCCCTTCTTTCCTGGGTAGTTTGAAATCTGGTTATCTACAAGTAAGGTTTTCCCTCATCCACTACCCTCTCTGCTCATCCTTGGGTTTCTTTCTTTAAAATACTACTGTCTGTTTGGTTGTAAAGCTCCAACAAATGAATAACCCACATTTGAAGAAATGTTCACTGGATCAGTTCCTGCTGGTTTCCCCTCGTCAGAACACAACAGATTGCAGTTGAGTTTTGAATGTCACCCACAGACAGATGATAATGGCTTCAGATGGATAATGAAATGTTTGAAACACAGATGGGCCTGTAAATCAATTTTCTTTTTCTTAGGATTTCCTTGTGACATAAAGAATTAATGTAATTAACACTGTTTTATACCCGCATCCCTCGTGCACGGTCTCTCTGTGACCCTGTTGTTCAGCTACTACATTCGTCTGTCTTTGGGAAAGATGCACCTTTGCCTGATAGGTGCTCTGTGCGTTTACCTGGTAGCAGAAAGGCTACCTTGAAGATTTTCCTGAATCTTCAAGATTCAGGAGAGGTGCTTACTTGAAAAGTAAATACCCCATAGAGCACTCAGCAGCCTTGATCTCTAAGGGATTACCTGAGCATTCCGTATGCAGCACTCAAGCTATAGGGGGATTTGAAGTAGAAATTAAGAGAAGTACATGAAATTCATAATAAGGATTTTTTATTTTAGAGCTATCAGTAACTATTGAAATGCACTTAGGTACCTATAGGAGAAGAGAAACTAAATCAAATAGAAAAGAGTTTTTTTAAAAAATTACAGTAGTCAGGGGGGTGAGGGAACAAGTGATAAATTATGGATTTTTATTTGCAGATAACAAGCCTCTTTCTGCTTTATCTCCAGCGTCTGGCACTGGTCAGGACGATGGTGGTGGTCATTCCGTGTTCGCCCCAGACCACTACTCCACACTAGGAAGGCTCAATAGCTGTCGGTCTGCTGGGCAGCGCTCAGACACCAGGGACTCCAGCTGTCAGACTGAGGACGTGAAAATCGTGCCACCATCAATGAGAAGAATCAGGGCACAGAAGGGGCAAGGCATTGCTGCCCAAATGAGCCACTTCTCGGGCTCCTCGGGCAACATGTCCGTGCTGAGCGATTCTGCGGGTATCGTGTTCCCTTCTCGCCTCAACAGCGATGCTGGTTTCCATAGTCTGCCGCGTTCTGGAGCAAGGGCGAACGTTCAGTCCCTTGAGCCGAGGCCGGGTGCCCTGGGCCCTGCAGGAGACATGGATGGCAGCTTCCCCTACCAAGGGAGTAACCCACAAGTGGATGAACACTTAGGACATTTAGGAGGTGCCTCAAGGACTGGAACACTTTTGAGGCCCAAATCCCAGGAGCTGAGGCACTTTGAGAGTGAAAATGTAACAAGCCCAGCATGCGTGGTTTCTCCTCATGCGACATATTCCACCAGCATCATCCCAAATGCTACGCTGTCTTCCTCCTCGGAGGTCATCGTTATTCACCCGGTTCAGAATTCAGGGCTGTTGGACAGTAAAATTACCAGCTCATCATATGCAAAGATAAAATCCAGAGACCACCTCATCTCTAGGCACGCTGTGAGAGATGACCACCAGCCTGCCCGCTGTTACTGGAATGAGGGTCACCCCGCCATTCTTTCTCAAGCCTTAGACACCCATTCGCCGGGGGCAGCCACACTGCTGTCCCTCTGTGATTCCTCGGTCTGTCTAAATGCCCCGGCAAATAGGGAGAATGGGTCCCAAGCCGTGCCATATCACTGTAGAAGCAGCCTGCGCTTCCCAGCCCACCCACAGGACGTGGATGGCAAGAGCGAGTCCAGTTACTCGGGGGGCGGAGGGCAGGGCAGCTCTGAGCCCTGGGAAAACCAAGCCCCCGGTAATGGGCGGGCATCCCCACTGAAGCCACATGTGGCAACTCCTGGGTACTCCACTCCGGCAAGTAACATGAGCAGCTGCAGTTTGGACCAGACGTCCAACAAAGAGGATGCGGGGTCGCTGTATTCTGAGGACCACGATGGCTACTGCACGTCCATGCACACCGACTCTGGACGGGGGTCTGGGAATCTGTGCAGTGGCAGCGATGGCTTTGGGAACCCCAGGCACAGCGTGGTCAATGTGTTTGATGGAAGGGCTCAGAAAAACCAAGGGGACCGGTCAAATTGCCATGATAAATCCCTTTCGAGAAACATCTCTCTGAAGAAAGCAAAGAAGCCTCCGCTGCCACCCTCCAGGACAGACTCGCTCCGCAGGCTTCCCAAGAAGAATGGCCAGTCTAACGGGCAGGTGCTCAACGAGAGCCTGATTGCCTCGCTCCAGCACTCGCTGCAGCTGAGCCTCCCCGGCAAGGGCGGCAGCTCGCCCTCCCAGAGCCCCTGCAGTGACCTGGAGGAGCCCTGGCTGCCGCGGTCGCGGAGCCAGAGCACGGTCAGCGCCGGCAGCAGCATGACCTCCGCCACCGCCCCCAACGTCTACTCGCTGTGCGGGGTAACACCCTCGCAGAGTGACACCAGCAGCGTCAAGTCGGAGTACACAGACCCGTGGGGCTACTACATCGACTTCACGGGCCTGCAGGAAGAGCCGGGCACCCCAGGAGCGGCCTGCACGGCCAGCTGCGGGGAGCCCGCTGGGAACGGGCCAGTCCGCCACAGCCAGGAAGGGCCCAGGGCCGCTTTGTCCCAAGTGCCCGGCGGCTCCGTCAAACCAAAGATCACATCGCCGGAGAAGTCACACAGAGTCACTTCTCCATCCAGTGGGTATTCCAGCCAGTCGAATACACCCACAGCACTCACCCCCGTGCCTGTGTTTTTAAAATCAATGTCACCAGCAAATGGGAAGGGGAAGCCCAAGCCCAAGGTACCAGAAAGGAAGTCCTCTCTGGTATCCTCAGTGTCCATTTCCTCATCGTCCACTTCTTTGTCCTCTAACACTTCGACGGAAGGAAGCGGCACTATGAAGAAGCTGGATGCAGCCTCAGCAGGGCCCCTGGGGGACCCCCCTCCTCCGCCAGCTCCCTTCTTCCCGCCTCCCCCGCCCTTGGCTGACTGTCCCGAGGGCCCTGCGCTGCCTCCCTCTCCCGTGTTCCCCCCTCCGCCACCAGAAGCTCTCACTCCCTTCTGCTCCCCCCTTGACGGATGCCTTCCTCCTGCCCCCACTTTACTGAGCCCCCTCCTTCCAGATTCTTCTGCGCCCTTGCCATCACCTCCGCCTCTCCCACCCTCCTCGGAGCCCCCTCCTGCCCCACCTCTCGACCCCAAATTCATGAGAGACCCCAGGCCGCCTTTCCCCAACTCCAGCCAGCCTGAGTCCTCCCGGGAGGCCTTCAGGCCTCCTTCTGCCAAGGAGGAGAGCAGCAGACCCCCCATGCCCCTCATAACCACCGAGGCGCTACAGATGGTGCAGCTGCGGCCGGTGAGGAAGAACTCGGGCGCCGGGGCGGCACTGCCGTCTGATCCAACAGCTCAGGAAAAACGAACTCCAGTTGCTCCACAGTACCACTTAAAGCCATCTGCCTTCCTGAAATCCCGAAATAGCACACATGAAATGGAGAGTGAAAGCCAGCCTGTCTCCGTGACAAGCTCGCTCCTGACGCCTGCCAAGAGCTCGAGTCAGGGTGACCATGGCAGTGCAGCCGAGCACGGCGGCCCGCCGAGCGCCGGGGAGGCAGAGGCTGGGCCTGGCCCCAGGACCAGCGTGCTCCCCGACTCTTCACCCAGCAGGAAGCCACCACCCCCCATTTCCAAGAAGCCCAAACTGTTCCTGGTGGTGCCACCTCCGCAGAGAGATTTTGCAGCGGAGCCTGCAGAGACTGTGAGCGAAGCCCTCCGAGCCTTGCCCAGCCCGACGAGGGGAGAGGAGGGCTCTGCACACAGCAAAGACACGAGAGAGAGTCCTGCAGCTCGAGCTGGCTCTCATGCGACGCACCCCAGCAGCTCGGTTCTTGAGGGAGGAGCTGCAGGATCCGTGTCCCCCGGCAGAGTGGAAGCCAATGTGCCCATGGTACAGCCTGATACCTCGCTTGCCCCCCAGCAGGAAGAGCCAGCCGAGAACAGCGCGGATGGTGGTGGCTACGTGGAGAGCTGCCTGTCCCGACAGGACGGAGGGGGTGAGTCTGGCTTCCCTCTCCTGTGCCCTGTGACCATATGCAGTTGAGCCAAGTGGGGCTGTCCAGTGCTCCCACGTGGAAGCCAGGTAGATCCGATTAGATTCACGTTAAAGCCAGCACTGTGTGGGCTTCCTGTGCTACTGCACAGGGTAAGTTACCAACTTTGCATGTTACGAATTTTTTAAAAAAAGATCTAGACCTAAAGAAATGGCAGAAAAATAGGGGGTCGGGGATGATCTGTGGCAGCCTGGGTGTTAAATAGCAGTGAGTAATCTCCCTTGTGAAGAGCCGCAAAGAAATGCTGCAACAAAAATTGGAGAGAGATTCAGCGGGAGTTCTATACTTTAACAGAGAAGAATGAGCTCTGGCTGTGGGGCTGGCGTCATTTCCCCCATCTTTGTAAACTATCAAACTATAGACCCCACCGCATCTCCCTGCGGTCCTCACGTTGTCAGGAGTGGCAGGGAAGCAGCGTGTGTGGAAGGTTGGCTGAGGACTGACATTCTAGTCACTGTGCATCTTCTGTGCCTGCTGGCTTGCTTCTCTCTAGCCCGGGAGCCGCAGACCGACACAGCCGCGTCCTCCTCAGAGGCCTGCGACTTCCCCGGGGAAGACGGGAGTGATGAGGTGATGACCCCCAGTAGACCCAGGACCACAGAAGACCTTTTCGCAGCCATTCACAGGTATCTAAAACGCCTTCCTCTTACTTTAATCTACTTTATAATTCCTGCTCTCCAAATGGCTTCTCAATTTCTTTTTCTTTCTAAAGGGTTCTTCTGTCTCTCAGTCATGACTCATTAACTTTATTATGGATTTTTTAAGTGGATTTCTATAGCTTTTATTTCCTCTGACTCCAATTTCTGTTTTACTTTGTCCCACTGATTTTTATGACATAAACGTGATACCTAGGCGCTGCTCTTGCTGGCAGGGAATACAATGTGTCAGTTGTAAGAGTATTAACAGGACTTGGGTTAAAGCAGCCGTGGTCCAGGGCAGGCCGAGGAATGCTGTGTTCTGTGAGCTTAGGATGCACAGACTAGCTCTGGAGGACTCCCTTCCTAAGGCTGTTTTAGTCTTTTGTGTTTTTTTTTCATTTTTCACAAAATCCAGGATTTTATAGTACAATTTCTTTGGCTGCTTAAATGTTTCTATAAAAGCGTATATCTTTTTTTAAGCAGGAGCAAAACGAATTAAATTTGCTCGTTACTGTATACCATTAGTGCCATCTACTGGCATCAGAAAAAGACTGCCCCCTTTAGCACTGACTGGCTTCTTTGATCTTATTAGAAATAAAAAGGTAGCTAGTTATCCAATTATTTCTCAAAACAGGGAAATGAAAAATATGCATTCTTTGAAACCAACTTTAGTGCATGTCTAGAAGTTTGCACAGATGTTTCCAACTTTAACCATACTAGACACATGATAAGCACTCAATAAATATTTTCTGAATTAAATTAAACCATTCGGAATCTGTTAGGAGATCCTTCCAAGACTCAAAGTATTTCATTTAATATGGAATGCATTGGGCTGCTAAATATACAGGCATATACATATTTATAATAGCAATCCATAGAGATTTGTGTTGCCTGGTTGCTCTGTGTATCACATACTTGGTTCCAATGAGAAAAACCCAACTGTTGTGGGGCCAAATTACTGCATCCCTTTCCTAAAAATATGCCAAAGGTCTCCTCTATATTTTGTTTTGGCAGCCTTCTTAAGGCACTGAAAAATTTGTGGTTTTTCCTACTGCAGATGTAGAAATTGGTTAGTTTGTATTATTCTGTGCGTGCATGAGAGAAGTAAGGCCAAGTAGGCCTCAGGAGTGGATTGCAAAGAGAAAGCAAGGAGACGTGCCAATTTCTGTTGTAGCGTTGAGAATATATTAGCAGACATAGTAAAGCTCCATCTAATGTCTGTGTTTTTTAAGGCTTTGTTTTTATATCCTTTAGCACTTAAGCTCACAATTTAAAATAAAGAATATCTAAGTTGAAGCACAGCTTTCAAATTTTATAATGCAAATTAATTCGCTTCAGATTTAAAGCCAGATGGAAAATGTAGAACACCAGTTGAGGTGTGAAGTTTTTATATTTATTGAAGTAATTAGTTTTTAAGCCAGTATTAACTATTTAAGTACTTTTATAGCCATCTTCTTTAAAAATACATATATATGTGTATGTATGTATACGTATATGCAAAGAATTCATGTGTTTAGATTTCATTCTTATTTTAGGGGGCAGCTGCTCTTCAGAAGCAACAATAAAATCCCATCTTCCTTCTTAATTCTAAATCTACAATTAAAGGCCATAGCTTTAATCAAGTTTAGTTGTGGCTGGTTTTGTAGATCTCAGCACACCCTCACCATTTAAGAACCAAACAAAAAATCACATCACAAGCCAATTCCTAAAAGAATGAGATGAGCAGAGCTGCTTTGGGGAATAAGCAGCATGAGGGATGAGGCCACGTGCTAGATGGGGAAAGATACCCCATCAAGTCCTAATTGTCATACCAACAAGTTGTGTGACTTCACTCCTCAGTCCTCAGTTACCGTCTCTGAAACCCAAAATGGTTGGACTAGACCATTTTCTAAAGTCTTTTCCATCTGTGCAATTTGGAGATGCTGTTATTCTTTGATGTTGTCAGTTGGTCATTACTTACACTAGGGCACTGATCTTACTCACCACTGAGGAGGACCATGGAACCAAAGTATCATAGGCCACGTTCTGTAGTCCCAGAGGGGATGGTACCCCAGCAGCTCTGGCCACCCTTCAGACTCTGTATTGGGTGCTTACCACTTTCTGCCCTCCGCTTTGGTGGCTTGTTTTTGACCAGAATCATGGAGATGACCCTGGGGGCACCAAGCCCAGGGCAGCCAACACAGCCCTATCTTTCCCTCTGCCTTGCTATCTGGGCTATGAAAAACCAAAGCCTTTCCTGGTGGCAAAAAAGAATAAGTCTCTCCCCTATATGACATTCAAAGTTTTCTTAAGTACCTGCTATATGCCTGATACTTTATGGCTGCTACTGCATTTATCTTTACTGACAAACTATGGCCTATACGCTGTTATTTCCCCCTTTTCAGAAGGAAACACAATCAGAAATTTTAACTTGCATAAGGTGACAGAACAAGGACACTTCAGCAGTGGGACGTATGTAACCCCAGAGGTTCTTTAGCTCATTTGGTCTTTACACGCCTGTGAGGTTGGTATTATCATACCCTCATTTTATAAAAAGTGTGGAAACTGAGGTGTGGCATGGATGGCAACTTGTCCCGGGCTACACAGCTAGAAGTGGTAGCGCTCGGTTTCAGTCTTCATCTGCACATACAGATACCATACTCTCAACCTTTGTCTGCTGCATACTCTAGAATTTTATAGCAGGAAAAGAGATATACTGACATCTTTAATTCATTAACTGTGTCGAGCTTTTTTAAAACAAGTCCACCTGCGCTTAGCTGAGAGATGCACACACACTGAGTTGTTGTCATGAACAGACCGGCAAGGGACCACTTGGCTCATCAGCTATGCCATCTCTATGTCACTAGCAGTAGAAAATACATTGAACAGCAAGGTCCTTAGAGACTGAGGACAAGAAGTACCTGCAGGCAACATTTACTTCCCCTGATCGCCTCTTCCCCTCTCCCTTCCCGTCCCTCGTGTTTCTTGGTCAGTGTGAGGCTCTCTGCACTTGATCATGAAATGGATCCAGCCCAGAAGGTTTGCTCTTGTTTTCTGGAAAAGTGAATTTCTAGAAGTTAACACAGGATCCTATAAAAGCTGAGGTAGACTGATTTTATGTCAAACTCTATAATGACGGAGAATATAAAGTTGTAGCATTGTTCTGGGACCTGAGCTGGGGCATATCTTAGTATAGGGGATATTCTGGGTGTTGCTTGTCTATTACGCTTGTTCAAGAACTACCACCAAAAATGAAAAGGAAGAGTAGAAAGAAAGATGGTCAGCTAGTGAAATTCACTCATATTGCCCATCTGGGAGAGTTAAATGAAAACTAACAATTATTTAAAACTTTGGAAATGGTCTTATCCAAAGTAAGTTAATATGATGTTTAAGATTTGTTTCAGAATAATCCAGCAAGGGTGGATATAAAAGAAAGATGGCATAGTTAATGATTATCCCCGATGAGTTATGGGTTCATGTGGTCAAAGAATGTATTGTCTTTTTTTTGCATGGGTATTTTAAGTTTTCCATAGTTAAAATAAGGTTTGTTTTTTTTTTTTTAACTTGTGCTTTTTATTGTATTGATCATACAGAAAACACATAAAATAAGCCTTTTAAAGTAAATATTAAGTCAGTGGTGACCTGAAGATGTGATAAGGGAAGTAGGATGGTTGTGGCCTACTGGGAATTAACCTTTATCTTAATGTTGCTAAATCTCAGATCCAAAAGGAAAGTCCTTGGCCGTAAAGATTCAGATGATGATCACTCCCGAAACCATTCTCCCTCCCCGCCAGTGACACCCACCGGCGCTGCCCCGAGCCTGGCCTCTCCGAAGCAAGTGGGATCGATCCAGAGAAGCGTCCGAAAGAGCAGCACCAGCAGTGACAACTTCAAAGCCCTGCTGCTCAAAAAGGGGAGTCGTTCAGACACCAGCGCCCGCATGTCGGCGGCGGAGATGCTCAAGAACACAGACCCTCGATTCCAGAGATCAAGGTCGGAGCCTTCGCCAGACACGCCCGAGAGCCCGTCCAGCTGCTCCCCAAGCAAGAACAGAAGGGCCCAGGAAGAGTGGGCCAAGAACGAAGGGCTGATGCCCCGGAGTCTGTCCTTCTCCGGCCCCAGGTACGGCCGCAGCCGGACGCCGCCGTCCGCGGCCAGCAGCAGGTACAGCGTGCGGAACCGCATCCAGAGCAGCCCCATGACGGTCATCTCGGAGGGCGAGGGGGAAGCCCCGGAGCCGGCGGACAGCAGGGCGCGCGCGGCGCTGGGCGCGGCCGAGCGCTGTTCGCTGGACGGACTGGCCGGGGACGAGATGGACGAGGGCGGCCCGCTCTGCGCCCAGGAGCCTGCCGCCTCCCTGCGGCCACGGGCCCCTGGCCCCGCAGATGGGGCAGCCAGTGCGGAGGGCAGGGGGCCGGCAGAGCCGCGCGGAGGTTCTCCGAGGGAGGAGAGTTAGGGACGGGAACGTGCCTCTCCCCCGGTCATGGGGGACAGACAGCAATGCATCGCTCTAGGAAGCCCGCCGGGCGCCTTCGCCTGGCTTGCCTAGGGTGCCACCCACTGTGTGTGCTGTGGCCGCAGCGTCGCCAGCCCTGCAGTGTGAGCGGAGGGTTATTTAGGACTCAACTTGGCACTTGCCCTGTGGCTTAAAAGCAAGTAGAAGCTTAAACTTCTGAAAGTGCTTCCTGGGGAAGATTTTTTTTTTTTTCCTAAATACTGGGGGAGTGTGGGGGTGTGTGTGCATTTTGAACACTTTTTATTTTTTTAAAAAAATACACACACACCAACAGCATGTACAGAAATAGGAGAAAGCAAGCCAGAGTTAGGCTCGGTAGAGTAAGCTGGGAGTCTTCTGGACTAGGTGGTAACCGCTTTCAAAGCATTCTGTTTCTGGAAACTCGAGAGTTCCATGAGAGGGGAGGAGACGTTGCTTCTACGAAAGAGGCGGTAGATTTGCTGGTTCTTAATGCACAGAGCGCGGGGATGTATGCACATGTGTGCCGCGCGGGAGGCGTGTCCCGATGAGCGCAGAGAAGCTGGGGAAGGGCTGAGTGACGAACTGGTTCAGGTACTTTTTTTCTGGGGGGGGGTGGGAATAGGCTTTGTTTCTTTTTTTTTGTAAACATGACAAACGTGAAAGTGGCAACGCTGTAATTTGGTGCCTGCTGCTGTGCAGCCGCATACACACAACTTTTAGCCTGGATTTTTTAGAAGCGTGGGGGATTTTTTAATGCATTTCCTTCTTGAGTAGCGGCTGGGGCCTTTGAGAACTGAAGTGACCTGCGGACATATAGACAGGGAGACAGAGGAGAGGAGGGGAGGGGTAGGTGATACACTGCTGGAATTGGTTTCCTGCCTAATAAATGAAATTATTTTGCAGATTTAAATTTGAGAACTTGCACTACCGAACTGTGGGTGGAGCTTTTCCTTTGACAACAGTTTTTTTTTTTTTTTTAAATCAGAGTTTAAACTTCCATTTGGCAATTTCCTATCACTTGAAATGTCAGCATTTGCTAACTTTTTGGATATCCTTTTGGTTACACCAAAGAAAAAGTTACGGCTATTTTTCTTTCCTTGAACTGCCTGCAGTATCATGTCCTAATTTAGAAAGGTTTATCAAACTCTATTATATATATTATCTTACTTTGAAGAAAATGCTGAATAGCTCTTGTTAGTCAAATAAACTGATAAAAATTGGTAGGGCTTGGCTATTATTTAGCCCTGGGAAATGAGTTTTTAGATTAAAAAGGGTGGGTTTTTTTGCATCATTTGTTTTGTGCATTTTAAAATTTGTTTTTAAATAATTGAGTTGCTAATTACCTTCTAATCTTCTCCAAGCAGAATTTCAATACTTTCATAGGTGGGAGAAAATTATGTAAAGTCTTTATTTTAATGTACTATTCTTGTGACCCATATCCTCCTTTCCTCCCTCCCTCGCTTCCTCCCAACTTCTGTGTACTTTGGCCCCCTTATTTGTTAGTTAAATAAGCCAGATTCTTGTCTTCTTCATTGGAAGGACCTAGGATGACAATGCTGAGATTCTTGGTTTAAATCCAGTGTAGTTACCAAATGGCCATTTTTTTCTGGTATGAAAATATCATCTAACAGTTGGACTGCACAGGTCAAGTCATCACAAGGCGTATAAAAGAAAACTTTAGGTACCTATTTTAGACATGTCTTTGAGGCAAAAACAAACCTAAAGAATTAAGGCTCTTTCCCTTCTCTGAAGAAAACAAAACACTTCTTTTCACACAACCGGAAATGAAGACCTGACATTTGGAGCGATTGTCTACTACATTGACATAAGGATCGTTTCTTCTAAATTTTAGGAAAGTGGTGTTGGCTTTTGATTATGAAATGTCGTAGCTACCTAAAAAAGTTTAGAATGAACATGGCTATCAGAAATCTTTAACTTAATATAAAAATCTTTTATTTCAAGGTAAGATAAGCAACATCAAAACTAATTATAAAACTATTTAAAAATTCCTGTTCTTAAAGAAAAATATCTATTAGGTTTTAAATTTGCTTTGAATAAAACAATTTTGAAGTAAATATTTGAAACTTATTTCTTTTTGTTTGTACATGTGTTCTTTTGGCTAATGAGATAGGTCATCTTGTGCAGAATTGTTGAGTGCTTTGCTTGATACTAACAGAACAACAGCAGTGAGACCAGAAGGTCCCTGTGGGAGGTGGGGACCCAACAGAGAGGAGAGAGAACATCACAGACACTGGTTGGTGCCATTTAAAAGGACCCATGGAAAAACAACTCCAAATAATGTCCTGTGGACTTTAGAATAAAATAAAAATAATGTATTGACTTGGCCGTTCAGATGATGCAGTATGTGGAGAGACGTGAGAACTTTTCTCAGGCATGGCTAACATACAGGGAGACAAGAAACTAGACTTTTCCCTGAAACATACTGGGTCTTCAGCTTTGCTACTGGATTCCTCTGTGGGCTCACTTCTGTTTGTGGACTGGATCTTGTTCAAAAGCTCCATGAGGGTAGACTTGATGGCCCCCCAAGACTTACAGATAATCACAGAAGCCCCGAGACTAAATTATATCCACTTTATTTTTCCTAAGAGTTGGGAGAGAAACAAGTGCTCAGTTTGGCTGTCAGTTGGAAACAGCCTCAACTTGAGTCTGATTTCTGCCCTCCTACTATTTCTGAAGAATCTTGATTGAATGCTGCTGCTGCTGCTTGTGTGAGGATGAGAGTTTATTCATTTGGAGAATCGCAATGACAGGGCATGGAAAGGAGGCATTTCTGTGTCCCAGTCTCTTCTTCCCCACCTGCAGGTGGCGCCCCCACTCTGTGGGCATCGTAGGAGGAGTGGACAGGGAACCACTGGATTGGCTTCCTTGGTTGTGCCTTAGTGTTTTCAGCCTCCACGTGCGTAATTGTATAACTCAGATTGCATCATAAAATGACCATAATGGGATCATGTACTTTGTTGGCTATGAGGAGACTGCTGGGGGTAAAGGAGGGTGTTTTGAATAAAACATGGACCTGACTCTTGTGGTCCATTTTCCTTCATAAGCTACTCGGTAACTATCACAGTTTTCCTCAATGAGCTGTTCTATACTACCTTCCACAGAGTTCACGCAACAAGGGCTAGAGCAATCTGTAGTCATTGTTTAGTGATGGAAAAAAGGTCCTTTAGTAAATACTTTTTGTGTTTTTGCTGGGTAAGGGTGAGGGGGTCCGTATGCAGAAGAGTGTGGATGAGTTATCAGTAAAGGGTTCAAACTTAGTGAAAAAGATACACAATTATCTGCAAAATGTATATCAACATTACATTAGACCCAAAGGAAAAGCACCCTGGGCTCTGGCAAGCTCTGCTGGGACCTCACCCAACATCTACTACCAAGGGGTGAAAATGTTCAGGTTGGTAACACAGCCAGACAAAACACTGTACTGCTCAGTTCCTTGTGGTCACCAGGGCCATGGACACACCTTTGGCCAATGAGACATGGGCATAGTCTTGGAATTTCTGGGAAGCTTGCCATCCCCTCCTCGTGTGGCTTCCTTCCTCCTGTTTCTTCCTATGATGGGTGGGAGGCTGGATGAGGAACAATAATCCCACAACCTATGAGGCACCAATGAGGATGGAAGCCATATATCATGAGTGGCAGAGGAGAAAAGAACTTGGTCTGTTGACAGCATCCAGAGTTACTGCACCAGCCATGAGCTGTCCACCTCCAGACCCAATGGGTAAGTCATTTTTCATTCACTTTGCAGTTGAGTGGCATGTTCTCAGAGGAAGATGCCATTGCTTTTGAGTGGGCAGACAGGAGGGGTTGGCTGTGGTAAACCTGAGCTAAGACATTGTAGGTGAGAAGGATTTCACCCAGCAGGGACAGCTGGCAGAAGAAAGACATTCCAAATGGGGGAGGGTAGCATGAGCAAAGATGCAGGCAAGTGTTTAGAGGAAGCCATGTAGCTAAAATAGGAAGTCTAGAATAACACAGTGGGACATGAGACAGGAAAGGTTATCTGGTGCAAGAATGTAGGGGGCCTGGGATGTCATCCCAAGGAATCTGGGTTTTGTTTCTTAGTTTTTAAGAAGAGAAATAATGTGACAGGGCTTGGTTCTTAGCCCTCTTCTCAAGTTATACTGTCCCTTGGTAAATTTATATTATATAATCCCATAGTATTAGATAAATGAAATGTTCTGGTAACTCCTAAATATCTTGTCTGGACTTCCTTCATGAATTCCAGATAAGTATATCAACTGCCTACTCAAAATCTGCACTTAAAGGTATTTCAAACTTAATACAGTCATGCCTCTCTTAAAGATGTTCCTAATCATTAGGTGATTTCATCATTGTGTGAACATGACAGAGTGTACTTAGACCTACATGGTACAGCCTATTATATGCCTAGACTAGATAGTGTGACCTATTGCTCCAAAGTTACAAACCTGCTCAGCATGTTACTGTGTTGAATACTTTAGGCAATTGGAACACAATGGTAAGTATTTCTGTATCTAAACATAGAAAAGGTACAGTGAAAATAAGGTGTTATAATGTTAGGGAACCACTGTGGTATATGTGGTCTGTCGTTGACTGTAGAGCCTACTTTCCTAAAACCCTACTTTCCTGAAACCCCTTCCCTTATCACTTAGTGGCATTACCATTCACACAATGGCTCAGGCTCCAAACCTAGGGGCATCCTGTGGCCTCTTTCCTCTCCACCCCACATCTAAAACCATAAGCAAGATAAATCAGCCATACTGCCAAGCTGTATCACCAATCCAATCACTTCTCCCCAGTTCCACTGCTACCGCTCAGGTCCAAACTGTCATCTCTTGACCAAAGCCTCCCACCTGGCCTCCCCTCCCTGCCTTTCCTATGCATCTTTGACCATTCTCAGCTCAGCACACATAATTCCTAGCATCCCCTGCTTGAAACCTTTCCAAGATTGCATGTTACAGTTACAATAGAATTCAAACTCCTTGCTGTGGCCTGCACTATCTTTGAGGTCTGCCACTGTTTCCCTCACTCATGGAGATTTGGCCTCATTTGCCTTCTTTCTGCCCCTTGACAGAAACCACTTCCTGCCTTAGAGTCTTTAACTATTGAAAATAAAGTTCTTAAATTCCTTTGCCAGTTTAGGTTCTTCAGGCAGTAGACACTGAGACAGAGTTAATGGAGTGTGACACCACCAGGGGGAAAAGGGAAGAACCATGATTGGGCAGGGAGAGCATGAGACTGCCATCCCAGTGGGGACGTGGGGAAAAAGGTCATCGTTGGAGGAGTCCTGTGTTGGACTGAATGGCTAGGTCCCTGTACCGCTGCCTTGCTTGGTCTCTGGTAAGAGACCACTCTCAGTAAAATGTCCTCTGTCCTCTTAATTTCCATAGGTTAGTTAAATCTTTGGTCACCAGCCCCTCCTGCCATGAGAATAGCATGACCTCAGCTTGAAAGCCAAGGAGGACTCTGGAGGCTGTCAGCTGCCCACACTTCTCACAGCTAGATGGCCAGCTTTTTCTTGTAGGGGGATCTAAGTGACACATCTCCATGCCTGCCCCAGTCTTCCCCTTTCCCCAAGTGGATCCGCCTCCCCATACACAGAGAGAGAAATTTTAAAAAACAGGAGTTTGGTGGAACCAACTATATAGCACCTTACTGCAATTGGTCTTGAGGCTACAATGGGTTCTCATCATTCCTCCCTCCATTCCAAATTCCCCTCACCCTCAACTGTCATCTCTGCGGGTCTTGGTGTCTTACTTGATGGTGTGAACCAAGCTCTCTTTCCTGAGGGTCCTGAGCTCCTGGGAGCCAAACCCTTCTCAGACAAGAGTTGCTATACTTGTCCATTCACAGTTCCCACTGGGCAAGGAGAACATAGGGTGTCTCCAGTGGACCAGCTGAGTGCACATGCTTTCTTCCCTGTCCCCATCATCTAACAGCTGGCTTACCTCTTCTTGTAGTTCAGGGTCAATTACCCCTCACTACATGGTACTTCTCACCTAACGGTCCCTGGACACAAAGAGGCCAAAGTGTCCAAGTGGCAGCAGTAGACTGTAGTTCCATGGGACTCTTGTTATATTGCCTAGGGAGGGCATACACCCTTTGTGTAGAAGGACTTTTGACCCTGGAAAACCAGAGTTGGAGGAATGGGAAGAACTAAGTACCTGAGTGGTTCATTGAGTGTGATGGTCAGTAGGGTCATTCCTGCCAGATCATGATTCAAGCTACTAATTTTTTCATATCTGTCACTTCTGGGTCTACTTCTATGATCTTTTATCCCTAAATATGGACAATATTTTTCTGTTTCTCTGTGTTGCTAGTCATTTTTTACTGGAGGTTGGGAATTAACATTATATTGTTTATTGATGGATTTTGTTGTATTCCTTTAAATAGTATTGGGTTTTATTATGGTGCACAGCCAAGTTTCTTGACATTAATTTGGTTTTTCCAAAGCTTGCTTTTCAAGCTGTGTTAGGGGAAGTCCAGAGAAGGCTTTGGTCTATGGATACTTTAACCTCACTACTAAAGCAACACCCTTTTGAGGACTCTGATGCCCCATGCATTATGAGTTATTTCTACTCTGGCTAGTGGAAACATACATTTTTCCTGGCCCCACATGTGATCTATAAATTAATTGTTCCAGTATTTCCAGTTACTCATTTCTTGGCTAAAGTAGTTTCTTCTCACACCTTCACTAAGCCAAGGACACAAGGGGACCCACTGCAGATCTACAGAGCTCTTTCTGTGTGTGCTTCTTCCTCCTTTCATTTACTCTGCCCAACAAATTCTATCCCCTTGGCCTCCTTTAACACTGACCTCTGTCTCCTCAACTCAGCAAGACCACTTGTCTCTGGCTTCCTCCTCCCTGCTTTGCTGCCTGGAAACTGCCTCTAAGCCATTAGCTTGAATATCCATTGGACTCACCTCATTTTTTCCCCCTTCTCTCAGAGATCACAGTCCTATGCTATGAACTTTCATTATCTGAAGACCATTGTTTTATATATTT